GTATCTGATATTCAGTATCCAGTTCATAGTTTTCATGATTAGTATCTGATATTCAGTATCCAGATAATAGTATTCATGATTAGTATCTGATATTCAGTATCCAGATAATATTATTCATGATTAGTATCTGATATTTAGTATTCAGTATCCACAAACCGAATTTAATGAATTTGAGCTGCGCCGCTGAGCTGCCTTGCCGCGGATGGTTCAAATTTGTACCATCGCACGATTCAAAAGTTAAAGATTGAGAAAAACATTAAAATTCGAGTCAGCAGTTTAAGTTCGGTTCCAATTCGTTAGTTCGTAGTGTTGATGGGATTAGTTAGTTCTTAGTGTTGATGGGATTAGTTAGTTCGTAGTGTTGATGGGATTAGTTAGTTCTTATTGTTGATGGGATTAGTTAGTTCTTAGTGTTGATGGGATTAGTTAGTTCGTAGTGTTGATGGGATTAGTTAGTTCGTAGTGTTGATGGGATTAGTTTGAGATATTCAGTGGATCCATAGTTTACTTTCAATACTTTCCATTTTCCTCTCTATCAAGTATGTTTTATCTTTTCGTGTTTCTTTGTCAATATTCTAAAAAGTTGTTATGTGAAAAACGTGTTGTTGGGGTTATTGTAAAAATGTAGTCCTCCCTCCTCCAGGTTAATTTTACACCATTTTAGAGTCTAATTTAAACGAAATTGGCGCCATTAAATAAGATTTGTTTTCGACAGTTTTTGTGCATTTTGAGAAAATGAGAAAACTGTCCAAAAGAATGGGTTCACAAAAAAATCTTAACTTAAAAAGAATTCGACTTACAATTCCTTATTATTGTGTCGTAAATGGTTTTCATAAAAATATATTTGTTCTGGAATATAATTGAAATATACACTTATAAAAACCAACAGAAAAAAATGGTAATTATGAAGAGGTTTTATGTTAAGATCCAGAGAAAGCAAAAAATAATTTACATGCTTCAAAGTGCAATTTTCTCATGTTCATATATCTTTGCAACCATGCTTCGTAGTTTGAAATATCCAGATTCACGACATCAGGTTGAAAAGATATATGAACATGAGAAAATTACATGTTAATCGATAAAATAATTCAAAATCAAAGACAACATAAAAAATCGAATGTTGAAAATTCTAAAATAAATTTTCGTATAATTAAGGAAAATACTTAAATTAAATAAATTTATTAAGATGAGCTGCAGGAGCTGGCTAGGAGAGAGATTATTGAGATGATAGAACGGTTACTACTGGAAGCAGATCTAGAGGCTGAACTACCTAAACTAGAGGTCTACGGGAAGACAATTGACGGGATCAAGGAGCTCCTCAACTTCCTACTCATGGACCCAGTTACAGGTAGTGATAAAGAGAGTGTGCGGTAAGATAATCCGAATTAAATGCAGCCATTCTTTTATTTCTATTGTATGTTTTTATTAAGAGAAATAGGTATTAAAATCTTGTTTCCTTCCACAGCAACTTTTTGCGGATTTTGTCATTTGGCGAATACTTTCCGGGAGAAAATGTTAAGATAAAAATAGACTTTTTTACTAATAGTAATAAAGGGAGTGTTCGGGAAATGTAAATAGGGTGTAAGGTTCGATAATACGAATTCAATTCGGCACTGATCAGTCACTTTATTTTATTTTTGTTCGATGTTTCTATTAAGAGATATAGGTAACAATATGCTTGTTTCTTTTCAAAGTATAATTATTAGCAAATTTTGTCATTGGCGAATATTTTCCGGGAGAAAGTATTGACGTAAAAATATGCCTACGAAAATAATTAATTGTTGTAATACAGAGTGTCCCAAAAAAACATAGGAATTCAGTGACGAATTGGATATCGTCTTTGTTATTAAGTAGCATTGTAATACCTAATTTCAAACCCATAATATTATTATGCCTGCTAGAGTTTATTTTATGAAAACGGTAAATGGCTGTAAAGATGTGTCTAATTATGTCTCCGCAAGATCAACAGTGAAGACGGACAAGTTTACTCTGTTTGTATACTGCAATTTTCTTGTTTTACTAAGTACAACCGTATGCAGTCAAAACATAAACAAACAAAATGTGAACATAGCAGACGAAACTTATACAGATTACAGCTTTTTTAGTAGGTATCACAATACTAAATCAAAGAATTATTTAAAAAGACGAAATCGAATTCGTCACTGAATTCCCATGTTTATTGGGACACCCTGTACATCTACGAATATTGTCACTAGGGAAACAAGCTATTTCCATTTATACTTTATTAAAAACTAAATTTATTGTAATAATTTTTTTTCAACAACTTTTCTGATAAGTAAATGGACATAACAAATCCGTTTTTGATTATTATCATAATTATGATTTATGGATGTCCATTTTAATCTTGAACAATACAAAATACATACTTTTGATGCTGTCAAGTTTTATTTAAAATAGTTTTAAAAATAAATCTTTTAAAGGTAAAGCGTTGAAGAGACAAGTTGCTTTCTTGTTTGATTTCGAGGAGATCGAACACACCACCGTCCTCGGGCTCACCCTACAGGACATCATCAAGGATGCCAAACACAAGCTCCGTCCCTGGGAGCTGGAGAAGAAAAGGAAGATACGAGGTTTAAAGAAATCTCTTATTCCCAACCTTGGTTACTCACAGATCTACTGCTACTACAGGAACAATTTCAATCATCTTTTTTTTAAAATTTGCTAATTATATTTTCTCTGTTTTAATTATGTAAACTTGAAACAATTGACTTCTAGCTACAGCTACAGTGAGAACTAGAAACTTGTGATAAAATGTCGCTTAGGTTTTTGAAATTTGAAAATTTGAAAACCTATTTTTCAATTTAGTTCACTGAACATTTATAGAAGTAGCTCAGTTGCAACAATTGCAACAAAATTGCTTGAGTATTAGGAAAAACAAGATTCATTCGACATTTTTCTAGTTTTCACTGTAATACAAAAATAAGATAATACAACTACTTACAGTGAAACCCTTAATAACGAATACATCGAAAGAATTCATCAAATGTCGTCTTCTTCACTTTCTGATAATCGAATGTTGCAGATATTTAGTATTTTAATTAAATGATTATATGGAACTGTTATTAAAACTGTTCCCGCATATTCATGTCTATTTATTTATTTTCCCAAATACTGAAATTTACGTAATATAGTATAAAACTCATTGAAAAATTGCCAAGACGACATTTGAGAAATTCTTCCGATTTATTCGTTATTAAGGGTTTCACCGTAAAAAACCATAAACTTTTAAAACAGGGTTTATTGATTTTTATTTTACCAATAACTCATTTTTTTAACTTGAAAACTAAGGGACTGAAATAAGGTCATTTTCTCGCTTTGAAAGTGCTTAATTCTGATAATTTCCTTAATTGTGTCTGTAGCATAAATCGCAAGTTACTATCACAGCGAAACTGAAAATAATCATGGATAATGATATCTTATTTATTCTTGATCCTTATTGTTATGATTCGAACTTGAAATACCGGTACAGTCCCTTTATTTTAAAAATATTGAATTGTTAACCCAGGGTGTTACCTGAGCATCTGGAGGGTCCACCTATCGGCCTGGCATACGAATAAATATCTAGCATTTGCCAACCTATCAGCTTTATTCAAGTGTACACCATGCAGTACAGTCTATACAGTGTACAGACTCCAAATATCGTCTTCACAAATTTAAAAATAGCACGCGACATGAATATGGGACACTACACTGCCTTGAGTTGGACAAAATAATATTTTAAAAAAAACGTTTTTTGGATAAAGTCAAACAAGGAAAAAAAATTGGTTCTTGGGATAAACAAATGTTTTAGTATATTTAATATTTATTCTTAATAAAATATTTTAAATAATAAATATTATTATCTATATTGCACTAACCCTACAAATTACAATTACGAGTGATAAATATTTAGGGTAAATCTAGTAATTCTATAATAAAAAGGTTGCTTAAAGGAGTTGAGTTCTTGCAACAAACTCTGATTTTTGCATCTCTATATATCTTTGCAACCCAATGTCGTAGATATTAAATATTTCAAGCTATAATTTAGATAAAATAGTGTAAGTTTGAAGGTTTACACCATCATGTTAAAAAGATGAAAGGATTAGAAAATCTAAGATTGTTGCAAAGACTAAATTCCTTTTTGGCACTTTACTAACTACAACATTTTTGGTTAAACCTATAGGTAGGTACTACAACAAAACTAACAATTTACAACTAAAACGTAACAAATTAAATTTTTTTAAAGTTCTTTTTCAACGAATGCATTTATTTTATTGAAAATTCTGAAGTCAAAATAAATATGGCTTATGAAAAAAGAAAAAGAAAGAAACTGAAAACTTTAAAAAACTTTGTCAAAATCTAGAATTTTTTTTGTTATTGCCTTCAAACGGATTTTTCTAACCCATTATGCAGGCAGGATTATTAAAATCCTTGCGAAGTTTTCATTAAAAAAAAATTCGTGGATTTTCAAAAGTAATATTTTCATTTTTTTTAGTTTAAGTTATGTCTACTATCTAGACTGTCTAAGCCTTTCCTACTTGAGGCGATTAATCAATAATATGACTAGAATTATGTTATGTATCAGAGCTGAAAACTTTAGAATGGGATATCCTTAATCCCGATCGGTTAATTAATCTGGAGATTAATAACAAGAGGAGAACAAGCATTATTTAATCTAAAGATTAAGAAAAAGAGGAGATCAAGCATTAATCTCGATATCCACCATTCTAAAGTTTTCAGCTCTGGTCGATTAACAAATATGTTTAAACAATGTTTATTAAAAGTGCCCTAATTCGTGTTGTCAATATCATGAAAATCTCCGAATTTGAACATATTTACGAGTTTATGGCTATTTAAATCTATCACAAGGTCATGTCGTCATGATGGGATCGAAAGGTTAAGAACTCATTTCACCAAAATGCATATTTATAATAATCTGGGGCATTTTTATTAAAACAAAAAGAAAGCTATTTTTTAATTATTCACTGCGTGGAAACGACGTCTTTGGTTATGTACGTCAATCACGTTTTGCAAGTTAAACTACATAGGATAGTCAGCTGTTCACTTTTTTGTAAGTCGTTTTTAACCGATTGTAATACCGCCGTGATCTGACGGAGCCACAACTGCATATGTAGCACTCCTCTTGTAGTCATAACTTGGAGCTCCATAACTACTACTTGGAGCACTGTAGGTGGGAGCAGGGGCACTGTAGCTGGGGGGAGCAGGAGCACTGTAGCTTGGTGATGGAGCGGAGTAGCTGGGAGCCGGAGCTGAGTAGCTGGGAGCAGAGTAGCTTGGGGCCGGGGCTCCATAACTATCTGGAGCAGAATAGCTACTTTCGTATCCAGATGACGGAGGACTGGGAGCAAAACAAGAAATTGTAATGTATTCGAGCAAAAAGTATAGATGAAATACAAATTCAAGTCGCAACTATTCATTGTTTTTATGTCAATATTAGGAAAGTGAGGAAATAGTGAAAAAAAACCTCCCCTCCGATTAAAAAAGATAAACCCCCTGGCAAAATTCCCGTGCGTTAAAAAATCTAAAAATTTGTTGTTTTTGCTTTCCTATATGATGGTTCTGAGTAGGATGAAGTTGGTTTAGTGCTCACACAAACCTTCTTCCCAACCTTCTTAGGAACCTCTTCAACTATTTGCTTGGGAACCTTGTTGCACACCTCTTTTGGAACCTGGATACAGGTCTTCTTAGGAATCTTCTTGGGAACGTTAACTGGGTCCTGGGTGCAAACTGTTTTAGGGAACTCCTTGCATTCCTTTCTTGGAACATTTATTGGGAAATCCTGGCATCTCTTGTCTGGAACCTGTTTACATTTGGTTCTTGGAACCTGCTTCTCTACTTTCTTGGGAACCTGTTTGCAATGCTCTTTAGGAACCTGAAACATGGGCATAATAAAACCAGATTTAGAAATAATTATGATGCTAATGCTGATGATAAAAATTATAATAGAAAAAGCAGTGATGCTAGCATTAACAATAATAATAGCATTAAAATTATAACAATCAAAACAATGTTGATAATGATAATAATAATAATAATAATAATGATTGTAATAATAATAATAATAATAATAATAATAATAATAATAATAATAATAATAATAATGATAATAATAATAATGATACCTGATCACACTCCTGGTGGTATCCATATCCATGACACTCCTCCTCGTAGCTTGTTGTACATTTCTGCTCATACTCCCAGTCTACCTTAGTCTCATACACCATATCACACTAGATATTGATTCATTTATTTACCATATCACACTAGATTTTCATTCATTTATTCATTCATTCATCCTATCTTTTTTATTCTTAGAATTTATTTTCTCCTATTCATCCTTACTTAGTCTTAGATATCCTTTCATTCATTTATTCATTCATTCATCCTATCTTTTTTATTCTTAGAATTTATTTTCTCCTATTCATCCTTACTTAGTCTTAGATATCCTTTCATTCATTTATTCATTCATTCATTGATCTAGTTTCGTTCATCCTTGGGTTTTTGTAAATTCATTCTTTCTTAGTCTCATTTTTTTATTAAAAATCCTATAATCTTTAAACAATATTTTTGAGTGGATTTTGAAAAATTGTAAGCCAAATTTTGATCATTTAATTTTTGGTTCACAGAGCTGTTGAAAGGGAGAATTGAGGTTTGAAAACAAATGTTATTTAAAAACCAAAGATCGTCAAAATACTATACCACTTTTCATACAAACAGATGATTGTTTCAAGTAGGGCTCTTCAGAATTAGAACTGGTTTCATTAAAATCGTATAAAACCTGCATTTGAATAGCCCTAAAATAGCTTAAAAGTAAACAAGTGTCATTTTTAGTGAATTTTTTAAACCTATAATCCCCTTTATACACTTTATAATTTTGAAATTTTCATTTGATTTAAAGATGAAACACGCTTCTGTTATACCTCCTTTTTATAAATAGTCCAACATCTCTCCTCACTGCTTGTATCATAAACTGTTCTACATTTCGTCTCAGTAAACTCGTTACAGTGCTTCTGGTACCCAATATCCTAAATAAAAATATGTAATTACTAATTACCATTTGGATAGGGAGGGGGGCTGCTTATACCCTCTTCCTCTTTCCAAGGTAAACATTAAAAAAACATCCAATTTTCATCTTTTTATTAAAAACTTTTATATTTTTGTGGAATGAATGATATGGTTTGATGTCGTCTTCTTGAAAGGAAGCTTATAAATTATTTATAATTCTTCAGGGAAAGTATTTTTTTTACTTTTCGGGGGTTACAATGGCCAAAGTGACCAACAAGAACACTTTTAATATTCCGAAAGTTTTGAATTAAAATTTTACTTCTCTAATTGTCTCTGACGCACTTTGCGTCAAAAAAAACTTCAAATGAACCCTAATACAACATTTATCCTCCCTATTCCATAATGGGAACAGCTATAACATCAAATTGACATATTCATAAAAAAAAAACAATGATTTAGAAGCTATGTGAATGTTTACCGTCACATTTACATTTTGAAAAGTAATAACTCCCTAAAGACATTTCTAAAGTTCCAAATAAAAAAAACTGTCGAAAAATTACAAATCTTCCTATTAATAATTCAACATCTAAGAGATGATAGGCTAAAAAGAGGAAAATAATTTGACGGCAACATGATACTTTTTAGATAAAGATGATGGCGTTCCTAAGGTGTCTTGTATTAAGACACAAGACCTGAAAGAAAACAAGTCAAAGAATGATTTGATTTGTTGAATTATGGTTTTAATCTATTGGATTGATTTTTCAGGACAAATTTCATAATGTGAAAAATTGGAAGACATTCACAGGATCGACATATTTAGTTTCAATATAATAATTTAAATCTTTCAAACATGTCTAGGCTAAATTAAAGGCATTTTATAACTTTTTGTTTGAATAAGCCTGGTTTCCTTATTTAAAGTTATATTCCTCCATATGCTTTATAGAATGTCTATACCATAGATTAATCAATACAAAGATTTAACAAATTTGATTAGACCTTCACAAATCTGATCATCTGTTGAACTACAGAACTTAATCAATTCATGATTTTAAAATTAATAATTTAAAATAATCTGTATTAATATTGTAATGAAATGTTTTTAAGAATCTTTGAAGTATTTTAGAAACCCTGGTTTGCTGGCGAAAATACGATTGCTATTTTGACCTTTTAGGCTCTCAGAAACATCTTAGAGCGACGAGATATTGATTAAGTTGTGTTCCGTATTTCCAAAATTGAAGTATGAGGTGTATTTTCAATTATGTCACCCTGAACTATCCAGGGCGAGAAGGATTCGGTTTCTGCTATTTGAAGTCAGTCGCGTTTAAAAAATCTTTAAACTCGGCCAACAAAAAAGTATAAAAGAAGAAAAGCTGAAAACTTATGTTTTATTAATCATATTGTGAGCGAAGGTATGAATAAAGGACACCATGTTGTCATTACTTTACAATTAGAAGCTGTTTGAAATGTACTTTACGTATTTCCTGTCAAATCTGTAAAATATATTAATCTATGAATAAAATATTTAACCTGACATAATTATTTAAACTGTTTCCCACAATTAGCTGTTTACTAAACAACCATCTTTTCATAGCAGGGCAATTATTCTTTCAATTCATGAATTCAGTATAATAAGATTTTTGTGTAGAATATTAAATTGTTTTATTACAAACAAAATCTAAATTAAATTACAACAAAAAATGGACAAAACTGACTTGAAGAGTTTGAGAATTGACGCTTATTGAAACGAGAGTTGAAGAGAAAAACAATGTGGAGAACTTATATTTTTCAGTAGAAGGGGAGAGAGAAAGGAGAATGATTATTAAAAAATATAAAGGGGAGAGGATTAAAATTAATATGTTTGTTAAATCAGTGCCTTAAACCGAACACGAACCTCTGAGGAAGTATTTAATATTTTCATAAGTTTGTCATGGAGTTTAACTTTTCAAACTCATAAAATCATGATATGAGTAATTAGAACAGTTTCCTGTTTACTCTACTATATCACTCAGACAGGGTGTAAATAGGGGGTACAGCGGCACAGCCCATTCTCTTAAAAAGTGAGAACTAATATTTCTAAAGGGTGTAAACAGGGGGGGGGGCTATGCTGGGTAAGCCCCCCCCCACTGAGTTATAGAAAATTCTCAAAATTAGTCATGAAATTTTGAGACAGCCTCGATTTTAAAGCGTCGCAATGCCTTGGCCTTAGGTTTAAACTTACCAACTCACTTAAATACTTTTTGTAGCCCTAGATAAATACATTATAGGAAGCAAAGGCCTTGTTCCTAGCTCAAGTGAAAAGCGAGTAATTGGCGAAATACCGCTCAATTTTTGTAAGAGCGTGCACATCTTTGTTTTAAGTGCCCCCTGTTTAACTACTACACCCCTGTACTCAGAAACCCTGATGAACTACTACACCCCTGTGCTCGGAAACCCTGATTAACTACTACACCCCTGTACTCAGAAACCCTGATTAACTACTTCTCCCCTGTACTCAGAAACCCTTTTTAACTTCTACAACCCTGTACTCAGAAACCCTGATTAACTACTACACCCCTGTACTCAGAAACCCTGATTAAATACTACACCCCTGTACTCAGAAACCCTGATTAAATACTACACCCCTGTGCTCAGAAACCCTGATTAACTACTACACCCCTGTGCTCAGAAACCCTGATTAACTACTACACCCCTGTACTCAGAAACCCAGATTAACTACTACACCCCTGTACTCAGAACCCCTGATTAACTACTACACCCCTGTACTAAGAAACCCTGATTAATTACTACACCCCTGTATTTAGAAACCCTGATTAACTACTACACCCCTGTACTCAGAAACCCTGATTAACTACTACACCCCTGTACTCAGAAACCCTGATTAACTACTACACCCCTGTACTCAGAAACCCTGATTAACTACTGCACCCCTGTACTCAGAAACCCTGATTAACTACTACACTCCTGTACTCAGAAACCCTGATAAATAACTACACCCCTTTACTCAGAAACCCGATGAAGTTTGAAGACCGCGTCGCTTTATATTAAATGACAAATAAGGTATGTAACACTGAGTGCAGACTGAAGGTCGAAGATGATTTAAAACTAATAATTCTCAAGTCATGTCACGACATACAAAGCAGCTGTGACATTGATTTCAGAAGTGGGGGGGAGGTGGCATAAAAGGGGTGGGAATAAGGAAATAAGTAATTTTTCATAATCGTAAATAAGGTTCCAAATTCATCAATTAAGGTTGAGCTCTCTTTTTTCTTTAAATTGCATTTCAGAGCTTTCTTGCAATTTCACGATTTACAATAAAGCTTTCCCCAAAGTCCCAGTCTACGAAAGAGTTTTTCTTAACTTCACAATTCACAATAAAAGTTCTCCCAAATTCACGATTAATAATATATAATATAATGAATAATAGTTCCCAACGTGAATTTAGGTTTTTTGCGAATTATTATTAATAACATATAACTTAAATAGTTTTTAATGAAACCTGATTTCTTTGTCCAAATCTTAAAGACTAACAAACCAATTTGTTTAAATTATGAGTTTATTGTCAAAGAAAATCCATAACATCAAAAATGAAAATGATTCTTTTTGGAAAAAACATAATTTAAAATTAGGATTATAAATGGGTGACATATTCCCACACCGCTATTATGTGTAAGTTTTTATCATTTCCTTTTTAAGCATTTAATTATTTTCATTATTTGCTTTAATATTAATACATTTGATGGGTCCATAGAAAGTTTTTACGATTTTTTGACAAATTTTAAATAAGAGATGAATATATACGACTCGAAGAAAATGCGCAATTTTACCTTTCCAGTATCATATCCTTCGGAGCACTGAACCTTGTACACTGTAAAGCATTTATTCTCGTACGTCCACCTAAACATTTTTATGTACAAACCATTGATATATGAAAGAATGTATATATCAAACAAACGTACTGCCAGTATTGTACATACAAATTCGTGTAAAAACCTAAGCATTGTAATGTGCAAACTACAAAGGTACTGCAGTATTGTACAAGTAACTCACTTGCGACAAACCTTGCATTGTAAATTATAAACATATTATAGTATTGTACAATTTTATTGATTTCAGACCTAAAAACTTTTACAATTTTGTACAATTAAATCTTCTTTGTTATTAAAAAAGTTAAAAATGCCACAGTTCCTTTAACATTCGAATTCAGCAAAGGAATTGAGTCTTTGCCACAAACTCGGATTTTCTAACTTCTATATCTTTGCAACTCAATGTCGTAGACCTTTGATATTAATTCTGCTAGATCTTATAATTTAAGTTTAAAATATTTAAGATTTACACCATCAGGTTCGATAGATAAAGGGATTGGAAAATTTGAGTTTGTTGAACACAGACTGTTAATATTCAAACCTTGTTTCTGTCACATACAGTGTTTCGCTTGATTTCTCACACTTGAAGTTTGGAGTAGGATATCCGAAAGGTCCAGGTTTACGGGGTTGAACCTAGAATACATAGCTAGGAGTAGGATATCCAGGGTTTACGGGGTTGAACCTAGAATATATAGCTAGGAGTAGAATATCAAGGTTTATGGGGTTGAACCTAGAATACATAGCTAGGAGTAGAATATCCAGTTTTACGGGGTTGAACCTAGAATACATAGCTAGGAGTAGAATATCCAGGTTTACGGGGTTGAACCTATAATACATAGCTAGGAGTAGGATATCTAGGTTTACGGGGTTGAACCTATAATACATAGCTAGGAGTAAGATATCTAGGTTTACGGGGTTTAACCTAGAATATACACCTAGCATTGAAGCGATCTACAGTTGCTGATTAGTGATTTTGGTGGTAAATATTCTACAAGGTACAAGGCATTACTTTAAGAAATGTGATTAATTTTGCGATTTTGGTGATTTGTTATTTTGTACATTATAGCGGCGTTTGTGTTGTGTGCGATCATTAATATTAAGTGTTTTTTTCTGAATCCATTTCATGCTAAAAAATTGAATTTAGTCCGAAATGGATTTTGAAAAAAAAAAGAAATCTGTCACCCGATTTTTCACCTTTTTTGGTCGCGGATGTTGTTTTCTATCACCCTGAAGTAAGAGGGTTTAAATTATAAAAACCTCAAAAAAGATCTTTAAACATGTATTCCTAACCAATGTGTAATGAACGAAAAATAAGAACTTTAAATGTGGTTACCAAGATATCTGACTCAGTGCTTTAAAAAAATATATATTTCCTGTCAGCAAGAATAAAATAAAAGGATGACGAATAAAAAAAACAGGTTCCAGGGTTAATGAAAGATTTAGTTTGAAAAGTTTTTAGAATCTGTTCAGAAATATTAGTGTAAAGCTTTCTTCCGAGCGTTATAATTTAAAAATGTCATTAAAAAAAAATTGCAAAAAAACTCAACTTCTTGTAAAATACCTTATATCCGGTATCCCCATATCCGCCACTCTCGTGTCCGCCGGAATATCCTCCGCCATGATCGTCTTCATACCCTCCGCTACTATGATCGTCTCCTCCATATCCGCCACCTCCGCCATATCCACCACCTCCGCCGTATCCACCACCTCCGCCATACCCATAGTCTCTGCTTTCTTTTTCATACGAATCATAATCTTGACTCTGCAAAAAAAAAAATTTGGAATTTTTAGACAATTTTTTGTTTGACCTGAACTAATTATGAGGAAGGACAATATAAAACGGACATAATTTCATCGAAATGAACGGGCGGGGGGAGGGGTGGGGGGTGCAAACCTTTGGAACATAAGCGTGAAGAGATTCAACTTCATGACTCCCAGCTGCTTCAAGCTCTTCCTCACCATCAACCTGATCATCATCATGATCATTATCATCTTCATCATTAATCAACACGAGCATCATCATTCATATTCGGAGTATTATCATCATCATCATCATCATCATCTTAATCATTAATCAACACGAGCATCATCATTCATATTCGGAGTATCATCATCATCATCATCATCATCATCATCATTATCATCATCATCATCATCATCATCATCATCATCATCATCATCATCATCATCATCATCATCATCATTATATCATGCTCAACATGATCATCAGGACCAAAAAAATCATCATCGTTAATATTATCATCATCATCAACATCACCATCATTATTATCTTTTTTATCTTCTTTATCAACATCATCATCATCGTATTATATAAATCCCAATCATATTTTCAATATCATCATAATCATAATCAACACCCTCAGTGTCTTTTTCCTTTTCGTCGCCAACAAAATCATTATCATTCTCGTCGTTGTCGTGATCATTACTACTATCATTATAATTAGTCATCATAACCAATGATTATGATCAGTTTTGAATTATTATTTAATTTACCTTAAAAGGTTCGAGAACGATATCTCCTGTACTGCTTATTCCTCGTTCTCCTCTAACAACATCTGCCGCGGCAGATGCTGTTTCTATTGTAGAGGCGGAGGGGGTGGAGGAGGTGGATGTTGGAACATCCCATTCTTGTGGAGATTGTGCAGGAGAAGGATTGAAATCTAGATTTTCTCCAAAGTTAGTGAATTCTGCTCCGAGCAAGGACTGGAAGCTTGGCAGATCAGGGATAGATGGAGGAGCTGGAGGTTCAGGATGAAGAGGAATAGGACTCGGAGTAAACTCAGAGAAATTTTGCCCTGAACAGATCGGTAGGAACAGGAGAACCCGGAGAAGGTTTCTAGGAAGGACGGAGAAAATCATGCTTAAACTAGTGATCATGCATGTCCAAGTTCGTAACATTAGAAAAATTCTCTCATTTTTTCTGAAATTAATGAAATTTATAGATCCAGTTTCTTGGTTTTAAGAATGATTAGAATAACACAATAATGCTGACTGCGGAGTTTAGATGAAAGAAAACCTGGCAGGGACGAGCTAGTTAGTCAAGAGTATAGATAGATCTGAGCTAGACTTAGACAGCACTTATTCAAGTAAAATCCTTTTTTTAACAAAATTGTTGGAAGGGACAGTCAACAAAAGAAGAAAAGTAAAATAAGAAGAAGTATAATAGAATATTTCTGTATGATTTGTACCCAATAATTTAAAAAAAATCATAATAGTTGTTAAGTTTAAAGTTGAAAAAAATGAATACGTAACAAAAAAGAATAATTAAAATAAACAAAATTTTTAAGAGAGCAACAAAGCAATGTCTATAAAAAAATACAATTTAATATAATTTAAAATTTTTATTATTTAGATTTATTTTATTCACAAAGAAAAGGTTAATATAAAATGATGTACTAATTAAATGTTTTTGAATAGATGAATAAAAGAATTAGTACAGAATTCGTCTACCTAAAATTCCTTGCAAAATCGGGATTTTTTAAAGTGAGGTGTGGTCATTTTTGTTATTAAAATTCTTACATGCATTAGCTTTACATGTTAAATTCAGAGGATAAGAATTTTAACTATAACTTGCCATCTTGTTGGTCGAATTTCTTATTGTTCACCAATAAGAGATTGGTTTTATAATGGGTTGGAAATTAGATTTCCCGGGCTGGAAGAAGAGATTAATTGAATAATTTATTCTATTTAATAAATCCCTTAACAGATAAACGGATTAATATGGGGGGGGGGGTTAAACTATGAGGTGGGGATGATGGGGAAAAACGAGGGGGAGGGGGATATTAAGATCTAATCAGAGGACCAGAAGTTGGGGAATCTTGGTCTAATTAGAGCAGATAAAAGGAAAGAAGGGGGAAATATAATAATAGTTTATAAATAAGGCAGAACTGTGGTTTTAATATTTCTTAATTATAAACAAACTAGTTAATCAAGTGTATTCTGTAAATATACTTTTTATACTAGATCTACAGATATATCTTAATCTGTTTCTCTATCACTCATGAGGATTTGTCTTATGATGTTTATATTGTGAAACTATATGAAATCATATGAAATCTTCATGTAATAAATATTTGATTTGAAATATCTTTGAACCGACGTAGATGAAGGGGGGGGCGTTGAAGCGTTAATAACTAGCTGTCCCCTTGGGTTCCTTGATTGCTCTGTATCAACAAGAATATAATATTTGTAAACTTTACTTTTACCTTGGACTAAACCCTTCAAATGGTCAAAAAAAGTAATTTCAATAACCAGTTCACAACCTTTTCAGCCGTTATATGTTTAAGGATGATTGAGATATTTTAGTTTTTCTGGTTAAAATTGATCATATACAAATTCTACCCTTTACAAGTTGATTCCCAGATTTACCCTTTAATATTTTGATTTGCAAGTTTTACTCTTAAATAGTTAATTTGCAAATTTCGCAGTTAAATAGTTGATTTTTAAATTCTACCCATAACAAGTTGATCTCTACCTCTTTATTCAGAGTTACCCAGAATGGATGAGACTCCAGATACGACTGTTCAGAATTTATTTAGCTGACCTGACTGTCACCAGCTTAAATCTTCTTTCCATCTTTGTTAAATCATTTCAAGGACTATGTTTGAAATAGAAAACTTGATTTAACAGTAAGATAGTTAGGTTTTTAAAGTTTTAAGGTCGAAATTAAAGTCACATTCTTTATGGTTATCCCTGTATCTGCAAAGTTAGATAGTACGTATAAAAGCCTAATCTCCTGTATCCTACAAACATTTTGTGCAATCTGTTTGCTTTCCCAGTAGGCTCATTGCACACTAAACTTTGTTGTATATCTAACTAAGTTCTTTTTCTTTATAAAGGCTTTGATTACAGGAAAATGACACAATTGTCTCACACACCCAAAAGCTTAATATCATTATTAAAGGGACTGTAAGTATAGTTTCAAGTAATCCTCTATTCAATCCAATTTACAACTCTACCCATAAAAATGTTTGCCTGATCAAGTATCTCAGAATTAGATATCCATGTTTTTTTTTCTCTACAAAAGGGAAATGCGCATTTCTTTTTTATAAAAAGCAATGGAGAAATTATCTGAACTAAACACTTATCGAGTCAGGCAAAACGATGGTTATTTCCATATTTTTTGTCATCAGATTAAGGTTTCAAGGTATACAGTTGTAAAAAAGGCATTGCAATCTTTGCATGAGGGTCACTTGAAATTATGATTACAGTCTATTTAAGTTTACTTACAGTGGTCCTCATCGACCCTAACCCCTCACCCCCCTAAAACGTGTTCCTTTGAAGGCTAATGTACATCGTTTTCACGCCCCTACAACCTTATTATAGATATTAAATGATTTGACCTTTTGGTCGTTGAAAATATAGAATTTCCTCCTTTCAGGAAAAACGTGAAAGTATATTCATGAATATAGAATACAATGAAAAAACTAAAAAGTTAATCTCATGAAAAGAATTATTAAAAAAAATCGATTTTATTTCTTAAAAACCAGTTGATGAAAAAATACGACTATGCGAGATTTTTAAAAAATATGATATGATCAAATGTAATGTGTTGAACTCTCAGTAATCAACTTTGATTTAATCAAATGCATTACCCTTAACCCTATTTTACAGAGCGTCCCATATCATATTAGATTATCTCCAATCTTTAACACCAAAATAAACCCTTAATACTCGAAAAACTTATCATTTTACGCAAGAAAATTCTTATATTAGCCTTATGTTATTTTCCAAAATGATTCACTCTAATGAAATTTTCTAATTAGTCCCGAAAATCGTAATTTAGGCCCGTTCTCGGTCTAATATGATGTGGGACACCCTGTACGTTTGTTTTGATTGTTTTATCATCATTTAAATATAGATTTTGACACGCGAATGTACATCGTTAGAATTTTAATTCGAAATAATCATTAAGTAATACTGACAACATTTATTCTTTTAAATCCTGGTTATGCATTCAAGCTAAAATATATTTTGTACTTTTGTCAAAATTAGTATTTTAAATAATAGATTGGCACATTTAAAATATGATTAAATTAATAACTATTGTGCGATTTGCAAAACACATTTAAGATTATATAGTAAATTGGAAGAATTTGTTCCATGAAAGTTGAAGCAACGAAGCTAGACCAAAATATTAAAAATGCATTTATAGCTTCCTTATAGCCTGCATATGGTCTAGAAATAAAATCATACATTTTAAAACAATATCTCAGAAAAAAAGAAACAATCGAGGCAGCAATTTCAAACCAACTTCTGTCTTTATAAAATAAGCTTTATTTTTTCACATGATTCTAAATGATCAAAATGTTTTTGAATAGTGTTCAAATATTTCAAATGTTTAAAATAATATTCATATGTTTTGAATTCTTTTAATGTTTTAAATGTTTCCAATAGGTTTGTATTATATATAAAGGTATATTTCAAATTTTCTAAATGTATTAAATATTTCAATTGTTTTAGACATTTAAAAAGCTTTTTGAGAATAATTCAAATATTTCAAATGTTTACCATATTTCAAATGTTTTAAATCGACGGTTGAAATGTTTTAAATGTTTGAATGGGGAGGTGAATAAATCGTATAGGTTTTGAGCATCATGTTAAAATAAAACAGAGGCTGGAATTTCTATCTTATTTGTGATTAATTGAATTGCGCGAGGCAGAGATCAAGAGAGCTATGAAAATCATGCATCAATTTTCTGGACTGGGTTGCATTGTAACCTATTGGCTTTTAGTTTGACATTACAAACCAAATTATATTTTTTTTGTAGTCCTAGACATGTACATTTTAAGACTTTGACACGCTTGACTGAGTCTTTAACTTTAGTTTAAACGGAGTAGTTGGTAAAATGCTGATAGATTTTATGCACATATGCACAGTTTGGATTATTGTGAAATCAATTGCGTTGGGGATACCATAAAAGACAAAAGATGACCAAGTCATTCTTTCCCAAAATTTACAAATATATCATATATTTCAATAAAAATCATGAAGTCAATTTATTCGCAGTGTCTGTGCAAATTTTAAAAGAAACGTCCGAATAATGCCACGGGGAGAATAAAATTAACGTTTAATTACAATACTTTAACCGTGTTATAAACAAGTATAAGAATACAGAGGAACAAAGACAAATTAAAATCATTGTTATTCAAGTTAATAATTAAGTTTAAGATTAACCCACTAGCATGGAATGGAGAGTGTAGAGTTTAGAGTGTAAAGTGTAGGATGAAGAGAGTAGAGTGTGGAATGTAGAGTGCAGAGTGTAGAGTGTAGAGTGTAGAGTGTAGAGTGCAGAGTGTAGAGTGTAGAGTGTAGAGTGTAAAGTGTAGGATGAAGAGAGTAGAGTGCAGAGTGTAGAGTGTAGAGTGTAGAGTGTAGAGTGTAGAGTGTAGAGTGTAGAGTGTAGAGTGTAGAGTGTAGAAAGTAAAGTGTGGAGTGTAGAGTGTAGAGTGCAGAGTGCAGAGTGTAGAGTGTAGAGTGTAGAGTGTAGAGTGTAGAATGTAGAGCGTAGAGTATAGAGTGTAGAGTGTAAAATGTAGAGTGTAGAGTGTAGAGTGTAGAGTGTGGAGTGTGGAGTGTAAAGTGTAGGGTGCAGAGTGCAGAGTATAGAGTGTAGGGTGTAGAGTGTAGAGTGTAGAGTATAAAGTGTAGAGTGTAAAATGTAGAGTATAGAGTGTAGAGTGTATAGTGTAGAGTGTAGCGTGTAGCGTGTAGAGTGTAAAATGTAGACTGTAGAGTGCAGAGTTTAGAGTGTAGAATGTAGAGTGTAGAGTGTGGAGTGTAAAGTGTAGGGTGCAGAGTGTAGAGTGTGGAGTGTAGAGTGTAGAGTGTAAAGTGAAGAATGTAGGGTTTAGAGTGTAGAATGTAGAGTGTAGAGTGTAGAGTGAAGAGTGTAGAGTGTAGAATGTAGAGCGTAGAGT